GACCACGTCCCCTGGACGGGGCTCCTCACCCCGAGTCGTTCTTCCACGGCCCCGCGTCCCGGCGAGGGACCCCCGAGAGGTCGGCAACCGCGGAAAAAACCTGCGCCTCGATGCCTTCGAGGCGCCCACAATGTCGGGGACCGCCGCCGTCCGCCGGCCGGCGATGCCTGCGGCGCGCCCGTCCGCCCGTGACTGCCCGCCGCTCCTCCGCCCCCCGATCTGCCGCTGCTCCGCCTCCGCCGCGCGGGCCGAGAGTGGGAGACCGAGGGTCGAGGAGGATCTCGAGGAGCGCCGGGCAGGATCGGGGAAGATCGGGGGGAGGGTCGAGGGGGGTCGAGGGGGGTCGAGGAGGGATCGAGGAGGGTCGGGGAGAAGGAGGAGGAACAGCGATGAACGAGGAGTATGGAGGCGGAGGAGGAGGAGGAGGACGAGAAGGATCAAGGAGGAGGATCGAAGGAGGGTCGAGGAGAATCGACGAGGGCCGAGGAGGAGAAGGAGGAGGAGCAGGAGGAGGACGAGGAGGATCGAGGATGAAGATCGAGGAGGATCGAGCAGGAGGATCGAGCAGGAGGAGGAGGAGGAGGAGGAGAAGGAGGAGTTGGAGTAGTAGGAGGAGGAGGAGCAGGAGGAGGAGGAGGAGGGGAAGGAGAGGGATCCGTAGCCATTTTGGCTCAAGCCATTTTGGCTCAAGTAATCCATTTCTCGAGGTGGCTTACAGTGAACTATTGAGTTTTGCGCGATCTCCTGCTCGAGCCTGCCCAGGCCTTGCAGATTCTTTTCGTAGCCAGCGTCACATTCATGGGTGAGCGCAGTGCTCGCAATGATGTGTGGTGTTGTCCGAAGAAGAAGTGTGGTTTCAAGACGAACTTCTCTTGGAAGCAGCACTGCTACAAGTGTGGCACTGCACGCCCTCTTGCGCCTGCTCCGGTGCAGCAACTGCGTGGGCCGCAAGGTGTATGGGCGAACGGGCCGCCTCGCTCAGCCGCTGCACGGCCCAAGCACAAGCATCTGGAGCCTGCGCAGCTTGAGAAGATTGTGCGCATGTCCAACGACGACTTCGAGGTGTGCAAAGGGCTTCTCTCGCCGTCCCAGCGCGCCAGAGTCGTGGCTCAGCGTGCTCTCGCTGCTGGCGACCCTCGTGCTGTTCAGCGTCATGCGCAGTCTGTGCTGGACGATCTCAAGAAGCAGATCGGCCACGTATCTAAGCAGATTCAGAAGGTCGAGTCAGACATGTAGAGCAAGGTCCTGGAGCTCGTCAAGCTCAAGGACAACCTCACGTCGCTTGAGGGCCAGGAGCGCGTCGCCTCCGCCAAGGCCTCGGCGGCATGGGCACAGTGTGCTGCTGGGGGTGCGGGAGCGGTCGACGCCTCTGGCGCAGCGGTTGCAGCCGACGACCCCGCCTTCGCGTTGCTCATGCAGTTCCAGTCTTTGGATGCAGATTTGGCTCGCTCGCTCCGCTCGTTGTTGGAGACGCGTGACTCGCTTCTGCCTCCTGCTCATCCTGATGACGAGGCTGCCACCGATGCGGCTACGAGACCGACGACCTGGACGACCTCAGTGGCGACGGTGATGCCATGGAGGATGCTCCACCTGGACAACCGCGTGCTGAACCCGCCCCAGCCAACGTTCGTGATGTGGAGGCTGCTGCGCTGGCAGTCTTCGGTCGTCCGCCATCTGAGTCCCCGTTTGCGCCTGGAGCCTCGCCTGTCGACTCGCCTCGTGGAGGGGGGACGGGTTTGGACGTGGGGCGGGGGCGGGATGGGACTGGGGCGACAGCGGCCTGTGCAGGCCCGCCGCCCGCAGCTCGCGTGCTCTCAGGATTTCTCAAGAAGCTTTCCACTGAGCAAGGTTTCAATGCCTTCCTGGCACATCACAAGATTCCGCGCAAGCATGCGGAAAACATTCTTGGAGGTATCAACTTTGCTGCGCAGAAGAAGTTTCGTCGCACTCCCTTCAGCGAGGGAGATGGCGCGTCCAGCAGGCCCCCGTCAAAGTCCTAGTGCTGGCCACGCCAAGGAGTGGACCCTGATCACCGCCAATGTTGGAAGGCAGATCGGGCTGGACGCCTACTTGAGTGATTGCATTGCTTGTGACGTTCTCCTTGTGCAGGAGACCAGAATCCCTAGCTCGTCGGTGGAGCCGACAGAGGCGCGCCTCCGTCAGACTGGCTGGTCGGCCGCTCTCACGGCCGCGCTGCCCACTCTCGGCAACCCCACTGGAGGGCTGATCACAGCCACGCCCAAGAGGATTGGTCTTGGAGTGCTTGAGAGTGTCTCGCCTGTGCTGCAGCCTGCGCGTGCCAGTCTTCACCATGTGGGAGGGATGGTTCGTGGTGGATTCCTGGTTGTGAACCTCTATTTGGTGCATTCCGTCGGGGTGAATGAGGTCAACTGGGACATATTGTGCCGCGCCGGCAGGGCCCTCAAGGCAGCTGGCACAGCGTTCGTGATTGGTGGCGATTGGAATATACAACACACCGATCTTCTGCAGACTGGGTGGGTTGATGCTATGGATGCAGTCATTGTTGCTCCCGCTGGCGGTACGTGCCGCCCAGCCATGAGGTGCATCGACTTTTTCGTCGTCTCGAGGGTCATTGCAGGTGCGGCCAGGGCGGAAATCGTTCAAGACATCCCTATTTCCCCCCATTACCCTGTTAGGCTCGTCTTTCCCCGTATTGAGCCCGTTGCTGATGTCAAGTTCGTTAAGGTGCCCAAGCGGTTTCCCCTTGAGCGCCCCATTGGTTGTCTGGGGCCCCCTGTCGAGGGTAGGTGGGAGCCCGTGGCCGCGCTTTGTTCTGATCCTCACGCCACCGTGCAGACACATGGAATAGTTTCATTCGTGCGGCGGAGGCCGAGTGGCTCTATGTGTTTCAGATTTCGGGGGAACTTGCTGTTGGGTATGTCGGAAGAGACCTTCCGTTGAAGATCTCTTCTAAGAAGCCCCCTTGCCCTGGGCCTCCTCGGTTCCCGAAGCTCTCCCCGCTCGCGTGTTGGTGGCGCAAGGTCAGCGTCCTTTTGTCCGACCTTGCGCGAGATCCTGTCGGTGCCCACAGGCGGCAGCTCGTTTCGGCTGCTTTTCGGCTTTCAGGTTTTCACCAGCTCCCCAGCAGCGCCGTCTATGCCGCCTGGGCGGCTGCGTTGCGCCAGGCAGACCTGCTGCCGCTGCTCCCGGCCAAGGCGCTGGCAGAGCTGGCGGACGTCGAAGCCAGGAGGCTTCAGGCACAGTCGGCGCACGACAAGGACAGGGAATGTAATAAATGGGTCGACAAGCACTCGTCAGGGGGGATGTCGGCTTTGTTCAAGTTTTCCCCCCTCCCTATCGGCTGGCAGCCCGATGCCCTCGATCACCCCGCCCTTCGCCCCTGTTCGTCGGTTGAGTCGGTCGAGGCCTTGGAGGCCGAGTGGAAAAAGTGGTGGTCCGTTGGTCACGTTTTGCCCCCTCTTGAGTGGCCTGACCTTGGTGTGCCGCCTGGGCGCCCCAGTGTTGATGAGCTCGTGCGGGCTCTCAAAAGCTCCAAGCCTGCTACTGGCACTGGTTTTGATCAAGTCTCGCCCCGTTCCCATTTGCTTCTGCCGCCCGCTGCTCTGGAAGCCTTGTGCGAGATTATCTCGCACATTGAACGCAAGCGTGAGTGGCCTGTCATGTGGAACCGCATTGTGTTCATCCTCAAGCGGGTGGGGGGTCTGAGGCCGCTTGGGCTGCTTCATGTGTTGGCTCGTGTTCAATGTCGCCTGAGACGTCCTCTCATCAGGCAGTGGCAGGTTAGAAATTATCGCGCCTTCTATTGGGGAACGCATGGGAAGTCTTCGGAGCGTTGTGTTTGGATTCAAGCTGCCCGGTCCGAACTCTCGACGTTTTAAAAACGTAGCTGTGCGACGTTGTTTTTGGATCTTAAGAAGGCGTTCGAGCTGGTTCAGCACCGACATCTCAGCTCGGCTGCGCAGGCCACCAGCTTCCCCTTGTGGCCATTGCACCTCCTGGTGCAGATTTATCGGGCCCCTAGGCTGCTTGATGTGGCTGGCGAGGTTGGGTCGCTGCTGGATGTTGAGCAGACCGTAGTGCCAGGTTGTACTTTTGCCACTTGTATGCTTCAATTGGTGCTGCTAGGCCCTCTCGACGCTGTTCAGGCTTCCTTCCCGACGGCCCAGCTGTCGGTTAATGTTGACGACTTTGGCCTCATGAGATGGGGCGCAGAGTCGAGAGTGGTGCAAGACATCGTCGGTGCGGGCAAGAAGCTCCACAGCGAGCTTAAGGCCGTCGACCCTAGGATTGCGGTCGACAAGTCCCGTGTGCTTGGGAATTCGCCTGCTGTTCGGGCTTCGATCGCTTCGAAGCTCCGTAGCCTCCAACCCCTGCCCGTTAGAGCTGAGAGAAGCCTTGGTGTGGACTTTTCCTCTGGGCTCGCTGGAGGGGGCAAGGCCACGTCCGCCTCCCGTGTCAAGGCCATGGGTAGGAGGCGGCAGCGCATGTCGATCCTCAAAGGCTCCAAACCTCGTCGCCGCGTGCTTGGACGCATGGCTCGAAGTGCCCTGGGGTCCTCCGTTTTGTATGGGTCCGCCGTGGTGGGCACCAGCGGGCAGGAGTTAGAGGTTCTTAGAGGTGCTGCTGGTGAACTTCAAGACCATCGCATGGATGGCAAATCTCGCACCCTGGCCTTGTTGTTGCCCCCTGTGCCCCGCTTGGACCCCATCTTTAGGGCCACGTGGTTGCCCCTTGAGGCCTTCCTCCACGCTCTGTGGCACTCTTGGCTTCCTAGGGGCGCCCTGGACTTCGGCCTCCGTGAGGCCCGCGTTCGGCTCTCGGTCCTTGAGCGCCCTTGGTTTTCCATTCGGGGCCCTTTCAGCGCGGTGTGGGCCACCCTTAAACGTGTGGGGATTACGGCTACCTCGGCTACCTCCTGGACTTGGCCCGATGGGGCCGTCATCAACCCCATGGACTACTGCCCTGTTACGATTCAGGAGCTCGTGCACCGTGCCGTCGAGTGTTGGCCGTTCGCCAAGGTCGCTGACCACTTGGACCTCCCTGAGTTTTGCAACGGTGTCATACTCACCCCCCTGAAGGCCCTGCTCAGCACCGAGAGTAAGCTCACGGCACCGCAGAGAGGCCACCTACGCAGCACCGCGGTTGGGGGACAGTGGCCCCAGAAGCGTCAGTGGGCCGAAGGCTGCGATACCACGCCCACTTGCCTCCTCTGCCCCCACGCCGAAGGCACGCTGCTGCACAGGCACTGCTCTTGTGTGCGCCTCGACAGCCTCGAGGGCTCACCTGCGTTTCGTGTCAATGCAGCGCGGGCGGCGCAGTCGCCGCTAGCCCTCGTCTTTGCTGGGCGCTGTCTGGTCCCGTTTCCTGCACTCGTCAGGCCGCCGCCTGGGCGACCCGTGCGCTGGGGGCTTGGAGGGACTGGCAGATGCACGGGAGATGTCTACCCTGACGGATCGGTTTTTGAAGCTGAGTATCCCAGGCTTGCGAGCGCGGGCTGGGGGTGCGTGGCGCCTCACCCCGATTGCCTTCAGGTTGTTTCGTTTTGCTCTGGTCCCGTGCTCGACCGCTTGCAGTGCATTAGTGCCGCCGAACTCATCGCAGTTATGCATGTGCTGCGCTTCGCGGCGCCGCCAGTGCGCATGTGTTCGGACTCAGCCTTTGTCGTGGATGGCTTCCACGAACGTGGCCGCGTGACCGCTACTGCCTGTGTTGCCGCGCATGCTCACCTTTGGCGGGAGTTCTGGCGTTTGGTGGGCGACTGGGGGGACGGGTTCGAGCTCTCGAAGGTCAAAGGTCATGCGGCCTTAGGAGACATCCAGCACGGGCGCGCCACAGCGCGCCACAAGTTTGGCAATATGATGGCAGACCGCGCTGCAAAGAGCGCCGCTGCCTTTGCGCGAGTGCCGCGGCAACGCCGTGCGCAGCTGCAGGCTCGCTCCAAGGTTGTCAAGACCTGGGGAGACTGGATTGGCAGGCTCAGTGACGGGCTTGAAGATTGTGGCCACCCCAAGCGGCACAATCGGGGCAAGCCGCGTCTCCCTCGGCTTTTCGTCGTGCGCAATCCCGTCCCATCTGGCATTGCGTCTCGTGTGCTGGCGGCGCAGGGGCAGCTAGGGGATGGGGCGCGCAAGCATGAACTTGTGCGTATTGCACTGTGTGAAGGTCCCACTGTTGTGGGCTGCGTGCGTTGTGGCAGCTTTGCAGTCTCTCGCGTTGCAGCTCTCAGCCAGCCGTGCCCGCCTGTGGCCACTGACCATGCCCTGAAGGTGCTCAAGCGGCTCTGCAAAAGAGAGTTTCGCCTCAGCACCAAGGTGTTTCGGGTCGCAGCGCAGGCACCGCTCGCTGTGGCCGCCGAAGCGGCTGTTCACGACGCCCAGCTGGAGGCTGGCGACGACAGTGCTGCTACTGATGTCTCGACCCAACCTTCGGGGGCATCCCACCCGTTTGGTGTGGATGCTGGTGACATATTGGAGGAGGCAGGCGTTGCCACCTCGGAGGCGGCACCCCAGGGGCCAGCTGGCGGTGCGTTTGATCTAGCGGAGGGAGGTGGTGTCGCGCCGTCGACGTCGTTGAGCGGGGGCGGAGGAGATGTTTCGGACACCGCCGTGCCTGTGCGCAAGCTGCGCACGCAGCGCACGGAGGCAGAGCGCGCTGCCATTGTTCAGCGGCTGCTGGCAGCTGCCAGTGGCCGCCCTCGTCCTCCTCCTAACGTTTTGCCCGATGCTCTCGGTATTAATGGCCAAGAACAGCCCGACCCCACCGTGGGGTCGTGCTCTGGGGGGCAGGTCGTTGGCCATAGGGGATCCTCACAGTAAGGGAGATCGCCCCGTGGCCCTCGGCCCGCCCTCCCCTCTCTTTTCTTTCCTTGGCGGGCTAGAGCTGGGACCTACGTTCTGCTGGTCCCGCACGGCCCTCTAGTGCGCGCTGGCGGTCTGGCCGTGCGCAGTCCCCTGCCCGAGGTAGCCTCGCGGCAGGTGCTTGGCCCACGTGGGCCCTGTCCGAAGTGCGTGGCTGAGGGCGGTTGCAAGGTGCGCCCTCAGCCACGCCATGTGACGGCTGTGGTGTCATAGACTCTGTGGCGCCTCAGGTTGTGCGCAGGGGAGGAGAGGGATGATGATGATGATGCTGATGATGATGATGATGATGATGACGACGAGGAGGAGGAGGACAATGACAATGAAAAGGGTTACTATCGAGGAGGAAGAGGGGGAGGATCGAGGACGGGGATGGGTGATGAGGATGATGATGTTGATTATGATGATGATGGTGGTGATGATATTGATGATGATGACGATGATGATGATTTTGATGTTGAAGATGATGGTGATGGTGATGGTGATGGTGATGATAATGATGCTGATGATGATGAATATGATGATGATGACGATGATGATGACGATGCTGATGATGATGATGATGCTGATGATGATGATGATGACGATGACGATGCTGATGCTGATGCTGATGCTGATGCTGCTGCTGCTGCTGCTGATGATGATGATGATGATGATGATGATGATGATGATGATGATGATGATGATGATGATGTTGCTGATGCTGATGATGAGCAGGAGGAGGAGGAGCAGGAGGAGGATAATCAAAGAAGAGGAGGAGGCGGAGGAGGAGGAAGACGAGGAGGAGGAGGATGATAATCGAAGAAGAGGAGGAGGCGGAGGAGGAGGCGGACGAGGAGGAGGAGGAGGAGAAGAAGTATCGAGGAGGAGGAGGAGGCGGAGGAGGAGGCGGAGGAGGATGAGGAGGAGGAGGAGGATCTCGGCTCTCACAGGGCACGCCCAGGTTGTCGCTGCCGAGCGCGGGCAGCGTCGTCGTCGGCGGCGAGGGCGTCAGGGCCGCGACAGGGGGGCGGGGGGGGGCGCCTGCGGAAGGCGGGCAAGCCCTGTGTCGAAGGCCAGGGCACCTGGGGCGAGGGGGGACCTCCTCCTCCTGCTCCTCCTGCTCCTCCGCCTCCTCCTCCTCCTGCTCCTCCTCCTCCTCGTCCTCCTCCTCCTCCTCCTCCTCCTCCTCCTCATCATCATCATCATCATCCCTATGCTTCTCCTCCTCCTCCTCCTGCTCCTCCTCCTCCTCCTCCTCCTGCTCGATCCTTCTCCACGTTCGCCTCCTCCATCTCTTCTCTCCCTCCTCCTCCTCCGCCACCTCGTCCTCCTCCTCCTCCTCCTCCTCCTCCTCCACCTCCCCCTTCTCCTCCTCCTGCTGCTCCTCCTCCTCCTTCTCCTCCTTCTCGTCCTTCTCCTCGGGGCGACAGGGGGAGGCCGGCGACGAGGCCGAGCGTGCGAGGGCGACAGCGGCGAGGACGGCCTCGACACCTGGACAACGACGACGACGAAAGGGACGGCGAAGTCGACTACGACGAGCGACGCCTCAGAGGCGGCTTCGGCGACGGCGGGGCGGTGGGGACAAGCACGCGCAAGTGCGAGAACGACGGCAACGATGACGGAAGGGAACGACGACCATGGGGTCTGGACGACGACGGCAACGAGCATGACGATGAATACGACGACCACGACGGCGACGACGGCGACGACGGCGGCTGAAGCGACGGCAGCAGCGGCGTCGTCGCTGTCTTCGGCCTCGTCGTCGAAGCCGTCGGCGTCGCTGTCTTGGTCGCCGTCGTCGTCGTTGTCGTCGTCGTCGTTGTCGTCGTCGTCGTCGTCGTCGTCGTCGTCGTCGTCGTCCGTCGTCGTCGTCGTCGTCGTCGTCGTCGTCGTCGTCGTCCGTCGTCCGTCGTCCGTCGTCGCCGTCGTCGTCCGTCGTCGTCGTCCGTCGTCGTCGTCGTCGTCGTCGTCGTCGTCGTCGTCGTCGTCGTCGCCAGAGGCGTCGTCGACTCAGTCAGCGGCGTCGTCGTCGGCGGTGGCGGCGGCCGAGGGCGCCTGGGCTGCCCGCGACGAGGCCCGGCGAGCTGCTGCTCCCCGGCGCCTCTCGGCGGGGGGCCGCTGGGCCGAGCGCGCCGCCACCGCCACGCCCGAGGGGCACCACGACCCCCACGACGACGACGACGGCGACGACGACGACGAGGTCGGAGAGGACGACGAGGACGGCGCCGCTGCCGCCGCCGCCGGCGACGGACGACAACGACGACGCCGGCGGCGGGCACCGACGGCAGATCAGGGTCGTGAGAAGCCTTAGGTTGCTCCCATCGGACTTTAAGGGCCACATCACAAAAATACTTTCAAGCACCCCGGAAAGCGTCGAAAGAGTGTCGAAACAGTGTCCGACGAGTGTCTCCGAGGCCACGAAGCGTTGGAGTGGTGTGCACAAAAAGGGGTGCTGTGGGCGCATGCGGGCGCCGGCATGTGGGCCCTTCTGTGGAGCTCCCTACAGTCGGGGCGTTGACCTAAGGAGCCCTAAATAAGGAACGGGGCCCCTTTCTCCCATAAGTTGAACTTCGATTCCCCATGGAAAACCGCTGGAAAACCGAAGGCAAACTGCAGAACAATCAAGGAAGACCGAGCCCCTCCCCAACGAAAAGGGTTCCTTCTTCAGGGTCCCGACTGTATGGGGCCACGAGACGTGTGAGGGGCACGCCAAAATGGTTGACGGATGCGGGTGGCAGAGGCCTGGATGGGAGGAGAGAGGAAGAGGATGAGGAAGGAAGTAGTGACGCGCGGCGCTGTCTTGTCAGAACCAGGACCCAACACCACAGGATGTTTCGGAAAATGCACAGGTTTGGTGACACCATGGAGCTTGACCCCCGGATAATTAAAAGGATGGCTCGGGAGCCCCGCTTGTGAATGAATCGTGAAGACGTCTCGAGCGGGGTTCGCCTCCCGGAAGGGCCCTCGGGGCCCGCCTCATGCTTATTTTTCCGGGGCGGGGCGGCCATAGGTCCGCCAAGTCGATTTGTATGTTTGTTTTTACAAGTTTGTGACACCTCGGAGCTTGATTATCAAAAGAAAAACTGAAGCGGGAGCTTCGCTCCTGAGCAACTTAACTGAAGAGGATTCTTCGAGCGCTCGCCTGTGGGGGAGACGTGGGCCCCCGACCTCCCGACCACTTCCCCGGGACCGGTTTTTCATCCTGGGTCGTTTGTGGACGGCCCCGAGGCCCGGCGAGGGCCTCGAGAGGCCGAAAAGGATGAAAGACAACGCCACGACTTTCCCGAGACGCCCGACGTCCGCGAGGAAGTCTCGACCACCCCCCGCTGCGGCAGACACGCCTCACGCGCCTCGTGGCCCCGGAGCTCTGCGGACCGCCCGGGCGACGGGGCCGTCGCGTCGCGCGCGCGCGCGCGCCCGGGGGCAGAGGAGGCAGGCGGGGGGCCTCCTTAAGTCACACAGGACGACGATGAAGGATTACTTCCGGACCCGCGGAGGAGATCCCGGAGATCCAACGACCTGAAAGAATCAGGACGGAGATTTCTCTCGGTTCTTGGCCTCTCGGGGCCCTGGCCGGGCCTCGGGGCCGTCAAAAAACGGCCCGGGATGAAAAACCGGTCCCGGGGAAAGTGTCGGGACTTCCGGGGACCCCGTATTTAAAAAATCACGACATCGGATCTCTGGGATTCCAAACTTTTTTTAAAGGATTGTCCTGCGGTTGGATCCCACATGTCAATCTCCTCGGTTATAGTCTGGAAGGGATTTTCAGGGTGGTCGTCCCTATGATTGCGGGGGCTCTCTTCCTCTCCCCTTCACCGTCCTCGTCTGAGCAGGGCGCGCATGCGGACCCTGCCACTGGGGGCTTCGGCGGAGATCCCTATGTGGCCACGACATGTGCGATGGGTCTGCCACCGTGAGGGGTGAGGGATGATCGACACTTCCCCGCAATTCGCTCACAGGCGAGCGCCATAGACATCAATTTGCTCAGGACAGAAGCTCCCCCTCGAGATGTCTTCCAGACTCAAGCTCCCATGTGTCAACACCATCATCTCCGCTTTTTATTTACATGGTGGCCTCTGGCCGCCTCGGGTTTAAAACCAGGAGGGGTCCCCCTCTCCCCCCCTCCAGGGACGGGGGGCTCCCGCTCGAGACGTCCTAGGCGGTCAACTCCCAGACGAGGCTCCCGCGGCAACCTTTCAATCTGCCCAGGGAAGATGAATGGGGCCCTGGGACACACAAATAAGTGGATTCCCCATAGTTTCAAATATTTTATGGGTTTTTGTCTTCCCCCCCACTTCCCATATTTTCCAATCTTTTCCTGGGAGTCGACGATCATTTGTGTCTGTGTGTTTTTTTCCCCTCCTGAGAAGAGGCCCCCCGCTCGAAATACCTTCGAGACTCAGGCTCCCTGGCGTCGTCACACTCACGTCTTCACAGGGTGCGCCGAGGGCCGCCGCGCACGACCACAGAGCAGGCGGGGGCTCCGCGGGGAGGGGTCTCCCGCGCGAGACCTCCTCCGACCCACTCGTGGACGAGGCTCCCGCGATATCCCCCTCCCCCTCCTCCTCCTCCTCCTCCTCCTCCTCCTCCTCCTCCTCCCTCCTCCTCCTCCTCCTCCTCCTCCTCCTCCTCCTCCTCCTCCTCCTCCTCCTCCTCCTCCTCCTCCTCCTCCTCCTCCTCCTCCTCCTCCTCCTCCTCCTCCTCCTCCTCCCCCCCTTCGAGGTGCAGGCTCCGACGTGTCGTGACGCCTCTGCGTGTGTGTGTGTGTGTGTGTGCTTTTTTTACTGGGCAGGCCGACGGCCGCCTCGGAGGCAACATCTAAAATCGCGACACGGAGGCCATCTGGGGAGCGGGCTCCCGGTGCCGTGCCGTGCCGTGCCGTGCCGTGTTTAACTGTGATGTGGTGTGTTGTGTCGCGTTGTGTTGTGCTGTGTGTGTTGCGTGTGCGTGTTGTGTATTGTGTGCCGTGTGTGGTGTGTGTGTGGTGTGTGCGTGCGTGTGTCAAAGTAGGCGTGTGCGTGGGTGTGGAAGTGTGTGAGCGAGTGCGTGAGTGAGTGCTTGGGTGTTTGTGTGTGACGTGGATCTGCGAGATACTAGCAGCGATCATGACGAGGTTGATGATGATGATGATGATGATGGTGATGATGATGGTGATAATGATGTTGCTAGCGATGATGCTTGTGATCGTGATGAGTGTGGAGGCGAGTGTGGACGGAGAAGAGGAGGAGAAGGGGCTGGGAGGAGGAGGAGGAGGAGGAGGAGGAGGAGGAGGAGGAGGAGGAGGAGGAGGAGGAGGAGGACTGCGAGAGGCGCCCAAAGGAAACAAACACCCCCCTCAGGATGCGGGGGGGTCAGCAGAAGGCACCAGGCGCAGGTTCCGTGCACGCGCTTCCGAGAACGAGGCCGCGCCCCCCGCTCACCCCCCTCGCCAGGCTCCGCTGCCCAGGCGGCTGGAAGGCGAAAGGCACCGACTCCGCCGACATGCGTGCACTGCAGCTTGAGGTCGCTCCGCGTGGGGCGGAGGCCCCACTCCGATTTCCGGGGAACGGGCAATGGCATAAACAGAACAACTCGGAGGTCCGCGCGGATTTCTCGGATCGGCGCTGGGGCCCCCTGGCGGCGCCTCCGACGCCGCCCACGGCGAGTTCCGCGCGCCAGGGAGAGGGGGCCCTTCGCCGATCCGAGAACTCCGCGCGGACCTTTTGAGTTTTATGTTTATGTCCTTGCTCGTTCCCCTAGATGTGCCTGCCAGGTGCCTTCTGGCCGTGATCTTGCAGGGCACGTCAGCACACAGCGGCTGTCCCCCTCGGCGCCCAGAGGAGCGCCGTCCGTTAGTTCTCAGGAATGAAAGAGGGGCGGGGGAGAGGGGAATAGGAGGGCGGGGATAGAGGTAGAATGTCCCGAGCGCGCCCCTCCTTCCTCCCCTCAGCCCTCCTTCTTGAGCCTTTTCGAAAGAGGAGGGGGAAGGAGGGGGGGAGGAGAGAGGAATAAGGATGAATATCGACACCACGGCCTGTTCATGACGCCGACCCAGAGGAAGTCTCGACCCGTTCCCCAGGGCCGGTTCTGCATCCCGAGTCGCTGTTGACGGTCCCGAGGCCCAGCGAAAGCCCCCACGGGCGGAAAAGAACGAAAAACCTTACGTTGTCAGAGTGAGGGGGCCGAACGGTCATTCACTGTACCTGGGTGCGTGGCTGAAGTGGGATTCCGCGGTGCGGATTCGTGTTGTTGTTGTTGTTGTTGTTGTTGTTGTTGTTGTTGTTGTTGTTGAACATTATTAATTCTAAAGAATAATTATTGTTGGGCCCCCTGGTGCACGCCCCCCCCCCCGCGCCTAGGCCGCAGCCACATTTTCATAATTTTCGTGAGGAAGTCTCAGGTAAAACGATGTCATCCAGATCCGGTTGTTTTGTTGACGCCCGCTTTCCCTGTCAAAAAACACTATAAAATGACATGTCTTGTTCTAACATAACCAAACTTCAAGAATCCTTTGCAAAAAAATGACACGAAGTGCACACTCGCGCGCGCAAGATGAAATCCTTCCAAAACCTTAGTTTTCGTAGCGATTTTAACATAAAAACATGAAAAACCCAATGGTTTTTCAAAAAAAAAGTTTCAAAAAATCATCTTGCGCGCTCTTGCGGATTTCTGAGGAAACCCAATATTTTTTCAACATTTCTGTCAAACGGGCTCTTGCGAGCAACTTTTTCACGTGCTTCGAACTTCTGCAACAACGGTTGCGCGCATGCCAGGGCCATCATCCCTGTCAAATAATACCATATTGGACACATTCGTTTTTTCTTCGCGCGCGCACGCCGTCGTCGTCGGCCGCGGGGCCCTGAATAGTAGCCACGGTCGTCCGCATGCCACGAAGTGAAGTGTCCGAACGTCATAGGGCGGGAAGCTGGGTGTGGGTGGTGGCGAAGAGTCGTTTGGAAATTTGGTAGAGCTTGAACCGGCCCCCCCACAAAGTGGGGGTATTGCCCGCCTCCTATGAAAACCCTGGCGCTGGTGAGAACGGAGTGTCCCCAGTCTTAAATGATTGTTGTTGTTGTTGTTGTTGTTATTGTTGTTGTTGTTGTCGCTGTTGTTGTTTGTTGTTTGTTGCTGTTGTTGTTGTTGGTGTTGTTGTTGTTGTTGTTGTTATTGTTTGTTGTTGGTTGTTGTTGTTTGTTGTTGTTTGTTGTTGTTTGGTGTTGTTTGTTGTTGTTTGTTGTTGTTGTTGTTTGTTGTTGTTTGTTGCTGTTGTTTGTTGTCGTCGTCCCACCCGCAACCCGCCCCGCGACCCACCCCGCGACCCACCCCGCGACCCACCCGCGACCCACCCGCGACCCACCCGCGACCCACCCGCGACCCACCCCGCGACCCGCCCGCGGCCCACCCCGCGACCCACCCGCGACCCACCCGCGACCCACCCCGCGACCCACCCGCGACCCATCCGCGACCCACCCCGCGACCCACCCGCGACCTACCTTCGACCCAACCCCCGCTCAAGGTACAAACCAACATTTTCGGCGCCTGCGGCGGGCTGTTTTTGCATTCCTTCCAGGTGGAGAGCCCGCGACCCACCCCGCGATCAACTCGCGACCAACCCGCGACCCAAACCACGTTCAGGGTACAAACCACATTTTCGGCGCGTGCGGCGGGCATCTTTTGCATTCGTTCCAGGTGGAGAGACCGCGGCCCACCCGCGACCACGTTCAGGGTACAAACCAATTTTTTCGACGCCTGCGGCGGGCATCTTTTGCATTCGTTCCCGGTGGAGAACCCGCGGCCCACCCGCGACCCAAACCACGTTCAATGTACAAACCAATTTTGTTCGGCGCCTGCGGCGGGCTGCTCTTGCAGGAGGAGGAGGAGGAGGTGGAGGAGAAGGAGGAGGAGGAAGGGGACGGCGACGACGACGTCGACGACAACGACGACGACGACGAAAAGGAGGAGGGGAGAGGATCGGGAGGGGGGGAAGAGGAGGAGGACGACGAGGAGGAACACGACGACAATAGGAGGACGATGATAGAAGGACGAGGGGGGGAGAGGGAGGACGAGGAAGAAGAGGAGGAGGAGGAGGAGGAGGAGGAGGAGGACGAGGTGGAGGAGGAGGACGACGATGACGATGAGGACGAGGACGAGGACGAGGAAGACGAGGAGGAGGAGGCGGAGGAGGAGGAGGAGGAGGAGGAGAGCGCCATCGACAGGGAAGGTGGGGGCCTCGAGGTCCGCCGGCTTGACGACGCCTGCGTCGCCCACGCCCGCCCCCTCACTCTTATCCGCAATTGCGGGGTGCTACGTATTTTTCATGGCTCGAGGGAGTCTGGGATCCATGGCAAGCTGTCGCCAAAAGGAGACCATTGGGCTCCACATCGAGCCGCATAGAAACAAACGGGCTGCGTCGGACCACACTTGGGAGGCCTGGATCTCTGCGGGAAGCCGGGGAATGGATGAGGGAGGAGGAGGAGGAGGAGGAGGCGAAGAAGGAGGAGGATAAGCCCTGAGAGGTACTCACCACGAACGCAGCCTGCAGACGATCCAGTACGGGCATGCCAAGCGGGCACGTGGCAGTACCGAGGAGGATAACTAGGAACTACTTCAAACAAACCAGAACAAGTTGGTACATCGCTACTGGTTTACCACACTACTGAATGCCTGGAACGTGCGACATCTGCAGCGCTACGGACAAGGTGCGACGTGTGCACCGTTGCGCGCAAGGTGCGCAGCCCCACGCCTGTGCTACAGCATTAGTTGGGCGGCGCGGCCGCTCCCCACCCCCTTCTCTTCCTCGTTTGATCCTCAGGAGACTAGGACGGATGGTGACCTCCCCCCCTCCACCCACCCCCCTCTTGGGGGGCCAAAAGATGTACACCACCACCACCTCCCTCCCCCCCTCCCTCTCGCTGGACAGAGGAGAGAGAGAGGAGGAATCGACGTGGTGGCGGCGTACATCCTTCGGGCCCCCAGCTCTGGAAACGGTGCCCCGGGTAGCGTCCGGGGAGCCCCGCCCGCGCGTCAGCAGCTGGGCCCCGCGCGCGGGGCCCAGGGCGGGTGCGCGGGCGCACCTGGGACGGCAGAGGCCGCTGCGAGGCAGAGGATAAGGTTAGGGGAACAAGCAGTGACAAAAACAGAAAAACTCGGAGGTCCGCGCGGACTTCTCGGATCGGCGCTGGACCCCCTCCCTGGCGCGCGGAGCGCGCCAGGGGCGGCCAGGGGCGGCGCCGCCGGGGGGCCCCAGCGCCGATGCGAGAACTCCGCGCGGACCTCCGAGTTGTTATGTTTATGTCACTGTTTGTTCCCCTAAAGGTGGAGGAGCAGTCCTTCGGTCCCGGGCGCGCATCCACTGAGGGTCGCCAGCTGGTGCGCATCTTTGCGGGACACAGGCGGGGGCGCAGGGCGAGAGGTCCTGAGCGCTCCTCCACGGCAGGCCGCCAGCCGCTGCGCCTCTGCGCTGGAGGGAAAAGGTGCACGGAAATGACATAAAGCATAACAGCTCGGAGGCGCCGCCAGGGGGATCCGAGAGATCCGCGCGGACCTCCGAGCTGTTAAGTTTTTATGCCGCTATCGGTTCCGCTAGGCAAAAAGCGGAGAGCTTCCGAGCGCTCGCCTCGGGTCGAACGAAAGGGCTGTGGATGCCATGACAATGGACACCCTAACCATCCGATCATTGAATTAAGCATGTGTTTAACATGCTTGAACAATGAGATGAAAACGTTTGAAACCAGTTTTTACATGTGTTAAAAAAAACATGTTTCACCTGTTTTTGTTGTTCTAGACGTCTGGAAAGCATGTGGCAACATGCTTCCTCTCCATTGGTGGTCCTCCACAACGAAAGGAGGGGTCAGCAATCCAGGTCACGTGGTTGCGTTCTCCTCCCACGAGGCCGCGCCCTCCCTCCCTCCTTCCTTCCCTCACTCTTTCCCTCTCCTCCTCCTCCTCCTCCTCCTCCTCCTCCTCCTTCTCCTGCGACACATTGACGAACAGCTGGGTTAGTGTGACCTACCCCAAACTACTCACTACGCTAGAAGTGGGAGCCAGCCCACCTGCAGCCAGGTCGAAAGGACCCAAGAGAAAGCACGCCTTCCCCCTGAGGCGGAGAGCCTGACACGCGTCCTTTTCCTCCTCCTCCTCCTCCTCCTCCTCCTCCTCCTCCTCCTCCGTGGCTGAGTTCTCCGGCGCCGGAGGCGCTCAATGCAGCAAGGAAAGCGCCCAGAGGCGGGGCCGGAGCCAGCTGCATGCAGCACCTTTCGCACCGCCCTCCCCTTTCCCATCCTCCCCCCTTTCCCTGTGCCCCCCCCCCTTTTCCCTGTCCCTGGCCCCCCCCCCTTTCGCTCTCCACCCCCTTCCTGTCCCTCCCCCCCCTTTCCCGATCCAACGTTGCTCCATCCTCCCCCCCCTTTTCGTAGCACCCCCTCCCTCCCCTATCCCCCACCCCGCCCTCTTCGTCCGACCCGCTCGCCCGCGGCAAGCGCGCCGTCTTTGCGGGAAGCCAAGCCCAGAGCTCTGGAGATGGAGCGCAACGGCCCCGCACCTGCGAGATGTCAACGTCTTCCAAAACTGAGGGGCAGCGATGAGGGGGGGCTGTGGCTGGCACAGGGGGGACGCAGCGACCTGGAATCGGCGATAGGCCTCTGACAGCGAAACTGCACCCCCGGCGGCGATGCACATGGGCGCGTTGTGGGGCCGCTGCGCCCCACCCTGTGCCCATCTCTAAAGCGACGCGAGGATCGGGACAAAATCGGATCAGGACAACTCGAAATCTCTGAGAGTCGGCGGGTTTGGAGGATGTCTTGGGCGCCGCGGCCGCTCCAGAGCGTTCCGGAACGCTCTGAGAGCGCTCCGGAACGCTCTGGAGCGATTCATCCCGATCCTAGCCCTGTTTTAACCTCCCCCCTGCCGTTGCCGCTGAACCTCCGATGTCTTGGACTGTTCTCCAGGCGGAAGTGCGGCATCCCTGGAGCTCTGGGCCACTCCCAGGGGGCCGGCTGTGCGCCCCAGCTCAGTGTCCGGCGAACCCGGGGGCGACAACTGCACAGGAAGCTGCGAAGAAAAGCGATCCCCTGAGATTCGACGTTGCGAAACAATTGCGTCAGCGCGACGAAGTCGTGACTGGAGGCAGCACCGCTCGAGCGCGCTGACAGATCAGGGCCCCCTGCCCCAAGCGGGAAATGTGATAAACCAGGGTATGGGCGCGCCCGAGAAGACCTCAGCCGTGGGCCGGAACACCCTCCATGACTCGTTCTCTCCAGGTGGACTTTCTTTCGCAACCCTGGTCAGGGGGCCCTGAAGAGATGTCGGGATCCACCAAAAAGGGGGGGGGACCCTGACGGGGGGCATGAGTTCGATCCGCTGGTGCACCGAACCGCCGCAAACAGATGCCCACCGCATGCCCCACCTATCGGTAACTATCGGGAGCTGCCTGCGGCTGGGGGGCATCTGTTCTGGGTGGTTCGGTGCAACAGCCAACTGAACTCTCAGACACACAGACAGACAGACAGACAGACAGACAGACAGACAGACGGACGGACAGACAGACAGACAGACAGACAGACAGACAGACAGACAGACAGACAGACAGACAGACAGACAGACAGACAGACAGACAGACAGACACACACACACACACTCACGCACGAACACGCACACGCACACGCACAGGCACATGCACAGGCACACGCACACACGCAACACACTGCACACAGCACACAACACACACAGCACACACAGCACACGTCACACAACACACAACGCACAACGCACAACGCACAACATACACAACACACAACACGCACAAACACACACAAGGCACACACACACACCCACACCCCTTTGCGGGATCCCGGAGATGGAGAGGCCAGACCGTCGGTCCCCCGCAAACCCACTGGTGGGGCCACTTCGCCCGGAAGGGAGCAGATGCACTGGGGGAAGCGGGCCCTGCCGAGGCTTCCGCCGCCGCGTTCGGGCTCTGGTGGCCCTCCACTGGCCATCGCTCGGGCGCCCATCCCCCGTGCTTTTGTCGGTTTCGCGCGTGTTTTTTTTTTCTCGCAAAATGATCAGGGATGCTCCTCGATGGTCCTCGCCGAAGGAAAGATGCACACGTCCGCGCGATGCCAAGTCCATCGGCCCCAGGGCCGTCAAGAGAGGCGACGATGGAAAGCTGTTCCCTGGCGACGACTTCGGGGTCCAAGGCCCGCTCCTCTCAGGACCCCTTCTGCGTCCTGCTGATCACTGGCTCGGGGAGACGGCGTGGTTGAGGACTGCCGTGACCACGTCGATGGCCAGCCAGCGGCCAGGGCAGATGCGGGGGTACGCCTGGGGGAGGGGGGGGGACGAGGACGAGGATGGGGGGGGATGGAAAGGCGGAAGAAGACGAGGAGGATCCAAGGAGGGATGGGGGGGAGCAGGAATGGGGAGGCCGTCTCCACCACCGCCTTCTTCGCCTTTTCCTTCTCCTCCTCCTCCCCATCGTCCTCCTTTTTCCTGTTCTTCCTCCTCTTCCTCCTCCTCCTCCCTCCGCCCTCCCTTCTCCCTTCTCTTAAAGCGCGCTGCATTGCAAAACATAATGTTAACCAGTGTGTACTTCAAGCGGTGAGTTATTGCACTGTGGAGGTGGAAGCTATGTGGAGCAAGCTTTGCGGTATTAGCTATATTGCAAGGTATGTGTTGCAAGTTACACGGTGCACGCTATGGGGTGTAAGCCATGCAGTGTAGTTGTTTTGTTTCACGCCGAATGAGAAAGGGCGAACGGTGCGTGGGGTCCCGCCGGAGCCCACAAGGTCAGCCCCTACTGGGCCAGCACGAACAGCGGCAAACGGCCGCCACTCCTTCGAAAGCCAGGCAAAGCGCAGCGTCCAGATTATTAGCACGATGGTGATACACGAGCCAAGCCTGCGCCCCGCTCGCCGACCCGCCGCTCACCCAGCCCTCGTGGCGCTTCATCACACCAGTCGACCGGTTGACGCGTCATGGGGTGGAGGCCCACCAAGATGTTGGCCGCCCTCTGCTTGCGCTTCCTGTCGATTGCAGACGGCTTCTCTGGCCATCCTGGGCATGCTCGCCCGAGCCCATCCGTCTTCCTCCTGCCGTCAGTCCCGCGGGTCTCTCTCTCTCTCTCTCACACACACACGCACACACACACACGCACACACACACACACAATGTAACAATGTAGCCGTGTACTTGCCTCGCAGCATGGAGCTTCTCCTCGGCACTGCCTTCTCCAGCCAGCACGGCTGCTCGCGCTGGCGCCCTCCGCCTGCCGCCACCTGCCACCTCGGCTGCACTGCTCGCCTCGTCGCCCGCCTGGGGGTGGGGGGCCTCCTGGCACCTCTCCACAGGGGACACCTGGATGGGGCCGTCTGCCAGCTCGCCACCCGCAGGGGGCCTCTGGGTGGGGCAGGCTTCCAGCTCGCGGCACCGCCCCTGGGGCCACTCCGCCGTTGCTGGTCCGCCGCCCTCAACCTCGTCTTCGCCTTGGCTTCCCTGTTGCCTGGCGCGCCCGCGCCTGGCCGCGTCGGTCGCGCGCATCGCTGCCGCAGGCCTCTTGCGCTCCTGCCTCTCCTGCCGTCCGCGCTGGGGCTGCGCTGCTGGGGCTCCGTCTCCTTTCCCGTCCTGCCCGTCAGCCCGAGCGGTGGCCGACGCCGCGGCTGTGGCTGCTATTGTCAAGGCCATCCCTGCCGCGAGCCCACTGAGCGTGCTGGCTGGGCTGGCGTGCGGGAAAAGGGCGGCCCCCATCCGCCCGATCGTCCGCGCCGGCTCCCTCTTGCCCTCCTGCCCTCCTCCTCTTCCTCCTCCTCCTCCTCCTCCTCATTCTCCTCCATTCCTTATCGTTATAAATTATCACTCCTCCCTGTCGCACCAAGAGGCGTGTCGAAAGGGCGTGCCAGGCGTTTCGTCCGACAAAGATGGCTTGCCAGCGTTTAGCGGATGGAGGGCGGGCCGCTTTCCAAATGTGGCTCTCGCCTTAGCGCCAAGCGCACTCGTCCTAAAATCTGCCGGCCTCCCCGTGGGGCCACCAGGCCGTAGGACGAGGATTTGCTGTTCCCTGCGCCAGTTCCAGCTTCCAGTTTCCACTGTTACAGTGTTGCTTTTTGTTGCTTACTGTTCCTTGTTGTAGACCGCGCGAGGCGGGGAGCCGAAAATCAGCCTGGTCAGCATCTCCTGAGAGAGGTCTCAGAATTCCCGGGGGGCGTGGGACACGAAAACGTACAAGAAATTCGCGCCCCCGAAGCCATCAACCCTCGTAAATTACACCGTAGTCGCGTCCCCGAAGCCATAAACTCTCGTCAGTTACGCATTACTCGCGTCCCCGAAGCCATACACCCTTGCAAAATATATCAGGTTCGTGTTCCCGAAGCCATAAACCGATGCGAATGATGCAATAATTGCGTCCCCGAGGCCACACACGCTTGTAAATCACACGCTATTCGCGTCCCCGAAACCATAAACCCTGGCTATTACACAATACTTACGTGTCCG